CAGAGAGAAAGCACCCCTCAGTGGTGCTTGGTCACGCCATAGTCCCTTCTTTATTTCTCCATCCTGTTGGGATTTGGGGCAGGCATGGGGTGCTTTTCAGGCTGTCAGGATTGAGATTCAAACTGCATGGTTGGTCATGTGACTTTCTTAACCACTAGGCTACAGGGCTGGCTTCAGGCAAATTGTTTGAAGCAAATTTAGACAGTACAGAAAGGGGGAACAGGTCTAGTCACCCGTTGTTCTGTCACACACAATTCCCACATTCCTCTGGAGACACAGGTTCTGAGTCCTTGCAGAAAATAGCTGGGCAGGTGTGAGGTGTGTACGCCTCATTCCTTCCTATCTGCTATGTATGGAGGTGCCTGCTAACCAGTTCTCTGTTGAGGACACGTTGGCTGTGGCTATTGTGTGTGTGTGTGTGTGTGTGGTAAAGATGTCTGTTGTGAATACGTTTATCTACTTAGGCTGGTTCACCTCTGCACATGTATCAATGAGGCAGATTGCTAGTAATGGTGACATGGCTGGGTCAAAATATGACTTCTGTAACTAAAGAGATTTTTGCTTTTCATTCATGATAGAGTGTGTATGTGTATGTGAGAGAGGGAGCGAGAGAAAGAGAGAAGGAGAGAAACACCCTCCACAGCACTTGGTAACACTATTTTCCCTTCCTCCAGCCTATTGTATCTTGGGCACTGGCGAGTGCCCAGTGTGTTTCAGACTGACTAGGCTGGGTATTTGAACTGTGGTCTCCAGCTGGCTTCTGAGCAGTGCATTACTGCTGTACTGCGGAGCTGCTCCATAGTTTGGATAATTTTGTCAAATTTGGATAAACTTGTCAAATTCCCCTCCAGGAAGATTGGGATAGCTATTTCCTTTGCCATCATGCTTTCTCCTTGCAGGATGTCATGGAGGTGATACTGTTTTTTAATTTTCCAGAGGGTGAGGTGTCACAGAGATTGTATTTTGTGCCCATATAATAGGTAAAATTGTTAAGCCATATCTTGAATTGTCTGTTAAGAGAAAAATTGAGTATCTTTTAAGAGTTTATTGGCCATTTTTGTTTTTCCCTGAACTGCCAAATGATTGCCTTTTCTTTGCTTTTTAATTTGTCAGAGGGTGCTTGTGCTTGCAGAGATTCAGGAAGGACAGAGAGAGGGAGAGAGAAATCACCACCCACTGGGGCATAGCCATGCCATAATCTCTTCTCCATTTTATTTCTCCATAATGCGGGGATTTGGGGATGGATACACACATGCCTGGTGTGTTTTTCAAGCTGCCAGGGCCAGAATTAGAACTTGGTTGACCATGTGTCTAGCTTCCTTAGCCATTAGGTTACTAGGATAGCATTGATTGCGTTTTCTTTATGATTCATGTGAGCTGTGTAAGTGAAAGAAATAAGCTCATTGCTGCCATATGGTTATAAGTGTTTTTTCTAATTTGTCACAGGGTTTTTAGTTTTTTTTTTTTTTTAGTTAATTTTTTTTCACAAGAGAGATACAGACCTTCACCCCCAACAGAGTCCTCACACTGTGATCTACTTCCAGCATCAGCCATCCAGGATCATAGGCGTGTATGTGCCTGATGTTGAAGACCTGGGATGTGAACCTAGGACCTTTCCCTTGTGTGTCCAGTTGTTGTGTTATCACTGCACCACCATCTGGCCTCTGTCACTGTTCTTTTTGACTGTTTTCTTTCATACAGATTTTTGTTTTTATGGAGTTAAAGTTATCAGCCTTCGGATCAGCAGGTGGCATAGTGGTTAAGGTGCTGGACTCACATGTGGTTAACTGTGGTTCAAGTCCCAGACCTGGGGACTGAAACTCACACTGGGTGCATGTATGTGCATGCCCAAAATCCTGAGAGGAGAATGGAGGAGAAGGAATTATGACATGGCCATGCCCCTTGGGGGATCATTTCCCACTTTCTTTCTGTGTCTCCAGTGAGTTCACATGCCCAATAGCAAAAATCTCTCTCTCTCTCTCAAAAAAAGTTATCAACCTTGTTCTTAATGAATTCAGGTTTTCTGCCTTGGCCAGGCCACTCCACCTGCTAGCTCTAGTCTTCACTGGACTGGGCATGCCTGCCATAACGCTGAGGCATCTGGGCCTAGACCTCAAGCCCTTGACAGAGCTAAATCTCAGTGGTACTACTTTATGTCTCTGGGATAGAGTCAGATTCAGCAAGAGTGGTGAAGGGTGGGAAGTGAGGCTGAAGCCTGGAATAGGAGAAGGGTGTAACCATTATACCATCTGTTGATCCCTGCATCTTTGATTATTGGTGGTTGACCTAGTTGTCTCAATCTGACCAAGTCTATGGTGAGGTGAGGCCAGGGTGAGTTGTAACGAGGACCCTACTGAGGGCCTCAGTACCAGGGGCTAGTGAGGCCAAGTGGGATTGTGCCCTTCCTCAGCTGGCACTGACAGGCATGAGAATTGAGAATGGTACTGCACGGGCTATCATTTCCTTAATTTGGTATAATTTTGAACTTGCCTGTTCTCCTCTTATAGGTGAAGAGATGGCATTTGTGAAGAGTGGATGGCTGCTGCGACAGAGTGAGTACAGATAGACTTTAGGACAGATCTTTAATTCCGTTTGCTAAAACTGAGGTCATGTTTAAGAATATAGTATAGACTTATTGCTGTTCTTGCCCTGACTTTCCTCTTGAATGTTTTTAGAGCTCTGTGAATGGTCTTTGTGCACACGGAGCTCCTCTGCAATGCTGAGTTAACAGTTACCAAGAAACCATGTCCATCACTGTCATACTTTTCTCTCTAGCCTCCTTGATCATTATTTTATTATTTTTTTAGAGAGAGATTTTTTGCTATAGGGCACATGTGCTCACCTGAGAGACAGAGACATCCCTTAGGGGATGGCCATGCCATAGTCCCTTCTCCATTCTCCTCTTGAGATTTTGGGCATGCACACACGAACGCCTGGCATGAGTTTCAAGCCTCTGGGTCCGGAACTCAAAACGCAATTGGCCATGTGGGAGTTCAGTAATGTAACCATTATGCCATCTGTTGATCCCTGCATCCTTGGTTGACCTAGACCATCTCAATCTGACCAAGTCTATTTGGGCATGGAGTAAATAGTATCCTTAAGTATCATCTTCTGGGATTTGGTGACTCAAGAGTCTAGTATTGAAGTCTTCATAATTATGTGAAGACCTGACCTGAAGGAAATAGTTTATCTGAAACCAAAACTTGATATCCCCAAATGGACTATAGAATAGCTTCAGTTTCTTATTTATGGGATTGAAATCCACTCTTCTAGACTTCTCTTTTGTGTTCTGGCTGTCTATTTCTGAGGCTGCTTCTCCTGGTGAGATTCACAGTGTGTTTATAAACAGAAAGAACCAGCTCAGTTTATTAAAGAACAGATAGATTGTTCAGCTATCCTTCTGGAAAGAGCAGAGTTAAGAGGAAGTGACTACTGTACCATTTATGATTCTAGCAAAAATCGAGCCAACTGAGCTGTAGTACACCCTGCTTATCGTTCTGGGGCTTGGATTTACATTTGAGGGAAACCTTCATACTTGGCTAAAGTTGAGTCTAACAGTGAAGAATCATCTTCATACCTCAAATCATTTATGAAAACTCTTCTTTATGCAGCTTGCTTCTGTTCCAGTTGTAGAGATTTTAAGTGGCTTGATTCTTACCACAGCTCTATGGGATAGTTGCAGAGTTCTCACTTGAAGAGGTCAGGGTCTTTGAGATCCAGAGTGTCTCTGGTTTCTCCCTCTGCCCCACTCCACCCTCTATTGAGGGAAAGCTTTCCTTTCTCTACCACAAATCAGCGTTAATCTTCTCTGCACATAGTGGACAGTGATGTCTTTGATGGTGTTGTGGCCCTGTCAGTGCTGAGTATAGTGATGTACATGAAATAGATAACTTTTAAGTAAGTTGCACAACTGTTCCAGCATCCTGGTCCATGGCTTTTTCAGAAGACTCACTCCCTGACCCCATTCCCAGATGGTAGATTGATTTTCCCTACGCGCCGGAAGCAGGAATATCAGTCCTAGCGAAGTATCACACAGGCAGCTATCTTCCATGCATTGGGCTTCAGAGCAGTGAGGTGTACATGTAGTTCCACAGCAGTCTCCAGTACTCCCTTTCCTGTCACTGCCATGTAGAATGCAAAGACCCAGTATCTGACCTTGGGAGGCAGCCTGATTTGGGAGTCTGCAGCCAAGGCTTTGACAATGGGTGAGATACTTGGGCAGGACTCCCTAACCTGATCATTCAGCCTGTCTGCATGGTTCCATTTGGGCGTCTCTGCAAACTAAGGTACTGCCAATCAGATAGTTGCTTGGTGTTCCTACTCCAGTCAGTTTGGGTAAGTGCTGTGGGCTCCAGTTGGACACTAGATGTCACATATAGGGCTGACACCAGTAGCAGTCCTAGGGGTACAGAGGGAGGTACATCAACTGGAACTTGTACACGTCAGCCAAGGACAGGCTGCAGTGGGCAGTATGTGGAGGCAAGAAAGGGATGACGGTAAGCTAAAACTGACCTCTTAGTTCACTATTGGAGTTTTCCTTCCTGGTAGACAATGCCCTTATAGCCTGTATAAATAATTGCTTGGTCCAAGATTATAGATGAAAGGGTGAATCTTTCCATATTGACAGAAACGTACTAGGTGGTGGAGTGGTGGGTGGCAGGGTGGGAGGCAAGCCCTAGGCCCAATGTTCTGCAGTGTCCACTGTCGGTGTCTGGGTTCATTTCTGCATCTGCATCATAATAGGGGACCCTCTTACCCTGTGGGCTTCTAAGAGGGGAAATGTTAGAAAAGGGTCCATGTGGGGACCAGCAGATGGCGGAATGGCAACGTTGCTGGACTCCTATGTAATCAACCTCGATTCAAGTCCCAGACCTGGTGACTTAAACTCACACCAGGTGCGTGTGCGTGCATGCCCAAGATCCTGTGAGGAGAATGGAGGAGAAGGGATTGCAGCATGGCCGTCCCTTCTGGGGGTGATTTCTCGCTTTTTGTCTGTCTCTGTCTTTCTGGCAAGCACACGTGCCTGATAACAAAAACCTATCCAAAAGAAAAGAAAAGGGTCCATGTGGACTTTTTTATTTTTTAAAGGTTTTTGCCATAGAGAGACTGAGACAGTGAGAGGGATAATGAAAAATCACCCCACGGGAGGATGGCCATCCCACTGTCCCTTTTTCATTTTCCTCCTGGGATTTTGGACATACTTGCTCTTGTGCCCAGTATGATTTTCAAGCCACCTGGTCCTGACTGAACTACTATGTCATCTGCAGGCCTCCACAAATTCTTAAAAACAAAGAAAAAGAACATTTTTTCATAAGCAGAAGGTGTTATTTTTATTTCAATATAGAATTTTATAGTTCAGCATTTTCGAATCAGTTTAGCAAATTTAGATAGCATGTGGAAGTTTTGTTATATATGAGGAATTACATGATAGACATTAATTTCATTAACTTAAAAGCCAATATTGTTAAACCTTTTTTTTTTTTTTTTTTTTTTGGGGGGAGAGGTTTTTTTCACCATAGGGCATGTGCGCTCGCCAGGCGGAGAGAGACAGAGAGACAGAAAGCGAGAAATCACCCCCCGGGGGGATGGTCATGCTGCAATCCCTTCTCCTCCATTCTCTTCTCGGGATCTTGGGCATGCACGCATACGCGCCCGGCGTGAATTTTAAGCCACCGGGTCCCAGAAGCGAACCACGGTCGACTACGTGGGAGTCCTGCAACATAGCCATTACGCTAACTGCTGGTTCCCTCAAACCTAATTTTTAAAGTTTGGGTCTTCAAGAGGGTTAGCAGCTTTCTCAGTGCCTGTGGTGTGTTGCATGCAGCCCTGTTCTAGCCTGGGTGTTCAGGCAACTGTGGTCTGCTCTCAGTTCCATTTCAATGCACTGCTCTGGGTAGTTATATGCAGGCATGCTAGGAGGCCACTGGGAACTTTTCTTCTGTGAATTAGAGGACAAAGTCTGCTCTTTCTGCTCAAAGCCTACCTTTCCCAATTTTTTTCAGGTACTATTTTGAAGCGCTGGAAGAAGAATTGGTTTGACCTGTGGTCAGATGGTCACCTGATCTATTACGATGACCAGACTCGGCAGAGTGTTGAGGATAAAGTCCTCATGCCTGTGGACTGTATCAACATCCGTATGGGGCATGAGTGTCGGGGTGAGCAATCTGTCTTTGCCAGCTTCTTTTGTTTGCCTTTCCTCATTCATAGATCCTCTTCCTTACCTATTCAACTTTCTTTTTTTGTTTATATTTTTATGTGGGTGCACACATGTGAGAGAGAGACACTCACACACAGGAAGATAGACAACACTCTCAAGAGGGTCCTCACACATAAGCTTCAGTCAGCGCCAAGTACAGGCATGTGCACACTTGCCTCCCTGTCACAGGGAAGCCTCAGGATGCAAACTGGGGACCTTCTTGTCTGGTCCAGCAGTGCAGAGTTTTGTTACCACTACTCCACTGGCTGGCTCCAGTTGCTTTCATTAACAAATTGAAGGAGGGTACCATTTAGGAGAGGTGGCTATATGATCTGACCCCAGGTGCTTAGATCGTGAACCATATGGTTGGGCAAACCAATTTTCTCATCTGAGTTAGACCCACCAGCCCTTGCTCTCTTATGGAGAAGGACCCAGAGCACTGGGAGCCCCAGGAAGGATATATCTCCTTAGACTGTTGATTTTGTGTCTTAGAAACTGGCATTTGTTTGAAGGTGATTGCATTCAGTTTCTTAAAATCTACAATGCTGTGGGTTCCTTATATTCACTTAAAGGAACAGATCCTGTGGAAATCTCAGCAGCTTGTCTTACCAGGCAGAATTTCCTTTCTCCTCCGTAGTCAGGCCAAGGGCTCTTTTTCAGATGTAGCACTTGACTTATTGTAATCTTTTATTTATCTGATCTGTTAGGTCATAGACTGTATAAGAAGAAATCCTGAAAAAACACTATTTCTTTATCCTGCCTACTTTTTTTTTTAATAGATATTCAGCCTCCTGATGGGAAATCAAAAGACTGTATGCTGCAGATTGTTTGCCGAGACGGGAAAACTATCAGTCTTTGTGCGGAAAGCACAGATGATTGTTTGTAAGTTCTAGTTTCGTCTCTGTTTAAATTAATAGTTATTTTATGTTTTAATGTCCAATTATGAAGATAAAAGAGTAGGAATGAATTTTTTTTCTGGCAGCAGAATAAGGGACTCTTATATGATGTGCAGATCTGTGAGAGACGTGTAACAGGAACTTTCTACCAGTGAGTAACTGTGGCTGTAATTCCTGCCTCTCCAGGCCTGCCTGGGCAGGATCCCATCATGGTGAGAATGGCAGAGAAGAGCAGCAGTTGCTTCGTGCTTTCTTCTTGGATTATTGGATTCACACTGGGCAGTGGACACAGTTGAATGATTTCTTAAATCTCGTTCTCTTGTGTTTTTAAAAAGCACTGACATGTTATCGTACAGCTTTTTTTTTTTTTCTTTTTTGGTTTTTTTTTTTTTTTTTTTTGGAGAGGTTTTTTGCTATAGGGTGCGTGCGCTCGCCAGACAGACAGAGAGAGACATAGAGACAGAAAGCAAGAAATCACCCCCCAGGGGGGATGGTCACGCCGCAATCCCTTCTCCTCCATTCTCCTCTTGGGATCTTGGGCACACACGCACACGTGCCCGGCGTGAGTTTTAAGCCACCGGGTCTGGGACGCGAACCACAGTCGACTACGTGGGAGTCCAGCGACATAGCCATTACGCTAACTGCTGGTTCCCATTTATGGTTATTTTCATTTGTCATGTCTGTAGAAAGGATGAGGAATTATAAGAGGAATACCCAATCTTATTGACTGTTAACATTGGCACCGATGTTTAATCTGGAAGAAACTGACGGAATTAAATTTGCTTAGAAGAATGGGTGTTTTTCTGTTCACTTTGTACCATGACAGTGGGTTAACTCTGGATGTCATGAGAATTCACTACCAGAGATTACTGAAAGACTCATGCATGGGTCACGTTTTCACAACTTCCTGTAGCTCTTTTGTCAGTACCTGTCCTTGCATTCACATCAGTGCCTCTCAGTATAAAGGTTTCATCCATGCCAAGCTCCACGTTTATTTTAAATCTCAGATGCCACATTTTCCCCCTCCACAGTCTTCTAATTCATTTCAGTGAATCTTAAATGACACACCCTAGAAGAGAAGTGGCTTCCCTATAGACTGATGGGAAATGACCACATATCTAGCTAATTTGTTCCTTTTTGTAAGCTGGAACTCTACATGTTATTACCTATTAAATAGTTTAAGGTAATGTATATTGAGCACTTACTTTGTACCAGGTTCTAAGTAAACTAACTGCTGTGCAGATGTTTAATCCTTACCATGCTTTACAAGTGATATTATTCCTGTTTTTATCAGAAATTGAGGTGTAGGGACCAGAAGATGATATAGCTGTTTTACATGGCTGGACTCCCTCATGGGCAACTGCAGTTTGAGTCCCAGACCCAATGGCCTTAAAATCACACTGGGCATGTGTGTCTATATCCTCCAGATCCTGGGAGGAGAATGGAAGAAAAGGGATTGTGACGTGGCCATCCCCACTGGGGGTGATTTCTCACTTTCCCTCTCACTGTCTCTGTCCTGTCTCTCTCTAGCAAGTGCACACACCCTAAGGCAAAAACTCCTTTAAAAAAAAGTGTAAAGAGGTTAAGTGTAACTTTTGTACCAGTTTTTTAATTCTTCTATAATAAATTACCACAAACTTGGTAGCTTCAAATAATAAAAAATTTTTACTACATTTTACTGGAAGTCAAAGTCCATCATGAATCTCACTGGTCCCAAAGTGTCTGGAAGGCCATATTTGTTTCCGTGCCTCCACCGTCTCCAGAGGCCTCCTGCATTCCCTGGCTTGTGGCCGTTTCTCCTCCTTAAAGTCAGCAGAAGTGGGCTGAGTCTGCTCACGCTGCCATCTCTCTGGTTCTCTGTAGCCAGGAAAGGCCATATGATTTTAAGGGCTTGTGATTTGCTTGGAACCACCTGGACAATCTCCCCATTTCAAGGTCCTTAACCTGAATTATAGCTGCAGAGTCCCTTTCGCCATGTAAGGTAACATTTCCACAAGCTCAGAGATTTGAATGTGGCCACTGTTGGGCGCTGTCAGCTCTCAAGCTGGTAGACTAGACTCGGGATTTAACATTTTTCCCATAGCCCTTTTAATGATTGCTCTTCTGTGGACTGAGATATCACATGTAAGAAATGCTCCTTTAAATCATAGTGAAAAAATATTTGGAACTAGGATTTTAGAGTATTGTAATAGAACATGGGAGGTTTTTTGTAGAGGAGGAATGAGTTAAAAATATATTGTTGTGTATATAAATATAATAATGTATTAAAAAAAATACACTGTCATGATTTTCCTGTCAACCTAATAAAAGATAGGGTTTTCTTTGTCCTGGAAGAGTGGGTGGGTTGGTTAGATCTTAATTAACCTAGATGGTAAACCAGAGGTTTACATATGTGACTAATTTTTAAATTTTTATTACTTTTGCCAGTGGGCATGTATTTTTGTTAGAAAGACAGAAACAAAAACACACATGCATGCGTGCATATACAAAAATACACAGAAGGGGACCAGCAGTTAGCATAAGGGCTATGTTGCAGGACTCCCATGTAGTCGACTGCGGTTCAAGTCCCAGACCCAGTGGCTTAAACTCACGCTGGGCGCGTGTGCGTGCGTGCCCAAGATCCCGAGAGGAGAATGTAGGAGAAGGGATTGCGGTGTGGCCATCCCCCCGGGGGGTGATTTCTCGCTTTCACTCTCTCTCTCTCTCTCTCTCTCTCTCTATTTCTCTCTGTCTTTCTGGTGAGCGCACGCTCCCTATAGCGAAAACCTCTCCAAAACAAAAAAACAACACACACACACACACACACACACAGAAGAGTAAGCATCCCCCATAGGAAATGGTCACAACACAATCCCGTCTCCATTTCTCTCTCCTTTTGGGATTTGAGGCATGCATGTACACACCCCTGGTATGTTTCTTAAGCCATCATGTCTAGGACTTGAACTGTGTGATTGGTCATGCTGGACCCAGTTGCCCTAACCATCACACACAGGCTGGCCTTATATGTGACCAACTATTTTTTTTTTAGGCTTTTGCTATAGGGTATGTGTATTTGCTGGAGAGAAACAGAGGCAGTGAGAGGGAAAGTGAGAAATGACCCTCTAGGGGGGTGCCCATCCTGCAATCTCTCCTCTTCCCTTCTCTTCTCAGGATTTTGGGCATTCATGTATACATACCCAGCATGATTTTCAAGCCACTGGGTCCAGGACTCGAACTATGGTCGGCCATGCAGGAGTTTGACACCTTAATCACCATGTCACATGCTGACTCCCATATGTTAACCTTTTTTTTTTTTTTAAGAGGTTTTTGCTATAGGGCACATGTGCTCACCAGACAGAGAGAGACAGAGAGACAGAAAGTGAGAAATCATCCCCTGGGGGGGATGGCCACACTGCAATCCCTTCTCCTCCATTCTCCTCTTGGGATCTTGGGCGGGTACACAAATGCACCTGGCGTGAGTTTAAGCCACTGGGTCCAGGACTCGAACTATGGTCAACTACATGAGAGTCTAGCGACATAGCCATTATGCCAACTGCTGGTCCCCATATGTTACCAATTTTAAGGGCACAAGTTAGGTTAGAAATAGAGGATTTTGTTTTAATTTGCTATAGGGCATATGTACTTGCTGGGGAGAGAGAGAGGGAAAGTGAGAAAGCCCCCCTTGGGTATATGGCCATGCCGCAATCCCTTCTCCATTTCTCTCTTGAGATTTTAGGCATGCACAGACATGTAACTGGTATATTTTTCAAGCTGCTGTGTCCAGGACTCAAACTGTGTCAGCATTTGGGAGACTACTATTTGCCTGTCTGTGTAGTCAAGATTCCAATATCTAGTTTTTGTGACCTTATAGGAGAAAGTTGATAGGCATTAAGATTGTCACAACCTTTTCGTAGGGCATTTGTAGTACCTACTAAAATAAATTGTATTTATTAATTTTTATTATTTTAGCTAGAGGGCATCTTATGACCTTGCAGTTTCAATTTTTGGAATTTGACCTATAGAATTGTTTGCATAAGATTGCAAGGGTAGGGGCCAGCTGGTGGTGTGGTGAAGGTACTGGACTCCCACATGGCTGACTATAGTTCGAGTCATGGACCTGGCAGCTTGCTTTCTCACTTTCCCTCTTTCTCTCTCTGTCTTTGTGGTCAAATTAAAAATAAAGAGGGACTGGCAGGTGGTATGGTGGTTAGAGGTGCTGGACTCCTACATGGCCAACTGCGGTTTGGGTTCCAGACCTGGTGACTTGCTTTCTTACTTCTGTCTTTCTCTCACTGTCTGGTCAAATTAGAATAAATAAATAAATAAAGTTAAATAATTCTAAAAAAAAAAAAAAAGAAATCTTGGCCTTCTTTAAAAAAATTTTTAAATAAAATTAAAAAAAAAAAAGATTTTTGCTGGACTGGCAGGTGGCATGGTAGTTAAAGGCACTAGACTCCCACATGGCGACCATGGTTCAAGTCCCAGACCTTGTGGCTTGCTTTCTCACTTTCTCCCGCTTTCTTTCTCTGTCCCTCTCTGATCAATGTGGAAGATAATTATAATAAATAAAGTTATAAAATACAAAAATAAAAGTGATTTTTGCTATAGGGCGTGGTGTGTGCTCACCAGAGAGACAGAGAAACAGAAAGTGAGAAATCACACCCCCCCTCCCCCCCCAGGGAAGATGGCCATGCCACAGTCCCTTCTCCATTCTCTCAGGGTTTGGGTGCACATGCACCTGGCCTGAGTTTTAAGCCTCTGGGTCCAGAACTCGAACCGTAAGTGACTACATAGGACTCCTTCAACATAACTAGTAGGCCATCTGCTGGTCCCAGCACCATTTTTAATGGCAAAAAATTGCTGACAATCTGAATATGCTTGTATTGTGAAATATATTATAACAAAAAAGATGAAGTAGATGTATGTATATGATACGACTGACAAAGCCAATTGCAGTGCATTTCGCATTTATGGAAAATTAAAGCAAGGGGCCAAGAGATGGCATAATGGTTACATCGCTGTACTCTCACATAGCTGACTGTGGTTTGAGTCCCAGACTTGATGGCTGAAAGTCACTCCAGGCACATGTATATGTGTGTATGTGCCCAAAATCCCGAGAGGAGAATGGAGGAGGAGGGATTGTGGTGTGACCATCTCCCTGAGGGGTGATTTCTTGCTTTCTATCTCTCTGTCTCTCTCTGTGTCCTCCAGCAAAGGCACAACAATTTTTTTTAAGCAAAAAATCTCTCTTAAAAAAAAAATGAAAGAGAAAAAAATAAAGCAAACACTAGTATAAATGTGTTATATCTGCTATAAATGTATTTTTTAGAAAAGTAAATTACATATTCCTAGTGTATGTCTTGAGTAGTTGACCGAGTGGTTCTTGGGGTAAGACCTTGAAGACCTGTTCTTTAAATGAGCCTTTTCAAAAATTGCGATGCCATCCTATGTGTGAGAACCAATGACGTGCTGTATTGCCGCACATAAAGAACCTTTTTCTTTTTCTGTTTTCCAGGGCCTGGAAATTTGCACTCCAGGATTCCAGGACAAACACGGTAAGTTGCTAATGGAAATCACCAGTGATATTTTCACATGGGCTTATATAACAAATAGGACAGTAAGGGATTGGGAGAGGGAAACGGGGACAGGGTTTTTGGCTGTCCAGCCATGGATGGGCAGGCAGAGCTGAACCTGTCCTTGACAGCGAGCAAGCTGGTGCTGCCAAACATTTTACAGGAGAAGCCTTCCTCATAAGGGTATACTTACTCCAATGTGGTTTTCTAGAAGTGTTTCTATTTTTCAAAGCTTTGCAACACTTTGAATTCTGCTGTGGTTTATAGGGAAGACTCAGAAAGAACCATGGGGTCCTTTGTATGCCCAGGATCACAGCCTTAGGAAATAGACCCTTTTGGGACGTTCTGTGTCAGGCCTTAGAAGGTTGCCGAGGCAGTAGGCCCATCTGTAGAACAGTGATGCTCTCTCTGCGTCCATCAGGGAAATGAGGCAGTGCCACCTCTGTGGTCAGCATTCACCTTCATGTGGGATTTTATTTTCTCTTATCTCTAGAAGGAGAGAAAAAAAAACAGGTTGAGCTTACGAGAGAGTTTGTGCATATAGGAAAACACTGCCAAATGTCAGTGTTTGTTATTCTTGTTAGCCCAGGACAGTTCTACTTGTAAGCATCCCTATAGCTCTAGTTACCTTTTCTTTCATAAAAACTGTCTCTTTAAAATCAGTATTGATGATTTTTTTTTTTTTTTGGAGATATTTTTGCTACAGGGTGTGTTAGCTCACCAGAGAGACAGAAAGCAAGAAATCACCCCCCATGGGGGATGTCCATGCCGTAGTCCCATCTCCTCTATTCGTCTTGGGATTTGGGGCGCACACGCACACACACACACGTGCCTGGTGTGAGTTTTAAGCTGCTGGTCTGAGACTCAAACCAGGGTTGACTATATGGGAATCCAGTGATGTAACCATTACACCATCTGCTGGTCCCCTCAGTATTTGTGATTTTTATAGAGGGGTAAGAGTCTAAGATAAATTCTTTTTGTGTGGATTTTTCTTTTTTTAAAGAGGTTTTTGCATTAGGGTCTGTTTAGAGAGAGAGAGTGAGTGAGAGGGAAAGTAAGAAATCACCCTCCCCACAGGGAATGGCCATGCACTCCCTTCTCCTCCATTCTCCTGGGATCTTAAACACATGTGGATGTGCACCTGTTCGAGTCCCAGGTCCAGTCAAACTAGTTGGCCACGTGGGAGTTCAGTGACATGACCGCTACACCATCTGCTGGCCTCTGGATTTTCTTTCTTTTTCTTTTTTTTTTTTTTAAAGCTTAACTGTATTTTTTTTTTTTTTTTTTTCTAAAAGGCAACATGTTTTTTTTTTTTTTTTTTTCCACTGAGGAGGAGAGAGAGAGAGAAAGTGAGAAATCACATCCTGAAGGGATGGCCAGGTCACAATACCCTCTCTAGTCTTGTCCTGGGGTTTTGGGCATACACGTATATGGGCCTGGTGTGATTTTCAAGCCACTGGGTCTAGGGCTCAAACTGCACAGCTAGCCATGTGGGATCCAGGTCCTTAACCTCCAAACTACCAGCTGACCACATGTTCTTTTGTTTTTTTTTAATGTGGAAGACAGATTGTGTAGAACAAATCTGACTGTAGCATTTCAGATTATAGGGTTTTTATTTGTGAATGGGATTGTTGAGAGTGGCTTCACACTTTTTAAAGGGCTTTGGGCAACAGTGGAGTTTCTGTGGGCCTTCCTAAAGGCTGAGCAGGGATCACCTTGTTCCTGAATTTAGAGGACAGCAGAGTAGGCTGGGGGCTCCCACTGGATAACAGAAATCTTTTTCACTTCTCAGAAGACTGAAGTGTTCTTATTTTTTCTTTTCCTAAATGAAAGGGATATATGCATAGTACCATTGAGCACGTAGGTCTATGGGTAACTCCCTCACTCTCCTCTTCTGTCCCCCACAGGCTTACGTGGGCTCCGCAATAGTGCCTGACGAGATGGCTGTGGCTTCCTCTCCTCCTCCATATACAGCATATGCTGCACCTGTCCCAGAGGTAGGCACACACTTGAGTGGGAGGATATTTGAGTAAGGGAGGTCGTGGGTGTCTGCTGCTGTCCCATGTTTGTTCTTTCTGTTTCTTGTTTTAACCTTGAGCCAATATCAGGGAAATTATAAATATACTCTGAACCTTTTCTTTAAGTAGGTTATTTTTGTTGTCTTTTGCTTTCATGAAATAAAACTACTTTATATTTTATTCATGTATAGCGCAGTTTGTTTTTAAGATAGACCTAAAAATGAATCACATTCATGATAGTTGTTTTGGTAATAATACTTTGATTCTTAGGATTTATATATAATTCTTTTTTTGTTGTTGTTGGAGAGGTTTTTGCTATAGAGCGTGTGTGCTCACCAGACAGAGAGAAACAGAGAGACAGACAGAAAGCGAGAAATCACTCCCCGGGGGGGGGGTGGCCACACCACAATCCCTTCTCCTCCATTCTCCTCTCGGGATCTTGGGCACGCATGCACACAAACCCGGCGTGAGTTTTAAGCCACCAGGTCCAGGACACGAACTGTGGTCGACTACGTGGGAGTCCAGGGACATAGCCATTACGCTAACTGCTGGTCCCAGGGGTTATATATAATGAATTGCTTAAGTCTCAAAAGTAATTACTGAGACCAGCAGATGACGTAATGGTTATGTCACTGGACTCCCACGTAGTTGACCACGGTTCAGGTCCCGGACCCAGGGGCTTAAAACTCACACTGGGCATGTGTGTGTGCATACCCAAAATCCTGAGGAGAATAGAGAAGGGATTGAGACGTGACCAAGCCCCGTGGGGGGGTGCGATTTCTTGCTTTCTGTCTCTAGTGAGCGCATGCGCCCTATAACAAAAATGTCTCTCAAAAAAAATTATATATATATATAGGGACCAGCATATATATATATATGCATAATATGCATATATGTCACTGGACGCCCATGTAGTTGACCGCGGTTAGTCTCAGACCGCGGTTAGAGTTTCAGACCCGGTGGCTTAAACTCAGTGCTGGGCACATGTGCATGTGTGCCCAAGATCCTGAGAGGAGAATGGAGGATAAGAGATTGAGGTGTGACCATCCCCCCTGGGGGGTGATTTCTTGTTTTCTGTCTCTTTGTCTCTCTCTGTCTTTCAGCTGCACTGTGCTCTTTTTTTAAAATTTTTAAATCTTAAAACAACAGCAACAGAAAGCATGAACATGCTATCTCATGTTCTTTCCTATTTTTTTATTTTTTTATTTTATTAGCCACAGCATGGAGATCCAATTTTAATACATTACCAGGGTTTCAGAATTGTATTTCTAATGGACCCATTTCTTTCCAGCAGGCGTATGGCTATGGTCCTTATGGTGGCGCATACCCACCAGGAACTCAAGTTGTCTATGCTCCGAATGGACAGGCATATGCTGTACCCTACCAGTACCCGTATGCAGGTAAGTCATGCCAGCCTTGCATTCTGTGTTTGTCTTCAGTAGGTGTGGAGACCAGTGAGGCCTTTAAAAAGTCTTATTCTCAGATTCAAGTTAAGTGTGTTATGGACCACAAATCACTATGCTACTCTGCTTTCTTTCTTTTTAAAAATAATTCTGTATGTTCCTATTGCTTTATATATATATATTTTTTTTTTGAGAGATTTTCACTGTAGGGCGCGTGCGCTCGCCAGACAGACAGAGAGAGACATAGAGACAGAAAGCGAGAAATCACCCCCCAGGGGGGATGGCCTGGCCGCACCCGTGCCCGGCGTGAGTTTTTTAAGCCACCGGGTCCGGGACGCGAACCGCGGTCGACTACGTGGGAGTCCAGCGACATAGCCATTACGCTAACTACTGGTTCCCCCTATTGCTTTACAAAGTTATAGTGGGTTTGTTTTTTTTTAACTTTACCATTGTATCCAGAGTGGTTCCAAGGAAGAGAATTTGTACTTACTGGGATTTACTTAGGCTAAAAATTAACCAAGGTGAGAGGCCCTTCTTAAGGGATGAGGACAACCTGTTTTTCTTTCTGGTACCATCTTTGGGAAGTTGTTCTGCTGAGGTAAGCTGTTTCCTCGTAAAGTTGTTGAGGCCTGGGAGGCACTCATGTGCTCTGGGCTTTTGATATCTTCTTTGCATCATTTGCCTCACATGAGGTGTAAGTGTGAGTAGCTGTGCCTGCATCAGCAGCATCAGACTGGGTCTCCTGGGCATGGGCTCTATTGGGAAAGGTGTGGGAGAACACTGGCTGCTGCCAGGGGCTGTAGGGGCTGGAGCCAGCAGCACGGCCACTGTGAGGTCAGACAGAGCAGGTTGCAGTGGGCATGACAAATCGACATCCTCAGGAGGAGAGCTGGCAGGTATACTGGAGTCAGTGCTCAGGAGAAATAGGGAGGAGAGGATTGTTGCTGTCCATGGCTGGGAGTAAACTAGCATGTCTTACACAGAAGCAGTGGGAGGGGAGCTGTTAGCAGAGATGGGCAGTCTCAGGGCAGTCACTGAGACTGATGCCTAAGAAGCTGAGGGGCCCAGGCCACACTCTTAGCGGGTGTCCTTGTGGTTACTGGTGTATAAGAGAAGATTTCCTGAATGGGAATAGAGAATGCATATACTCACTAGTTCCTGGAATCTGAATCAAAATCACATACCCAACATGCTCTTTGGGAGATTCTGCCTTGACTTCTTTTCATGTCAAGCTCCAAACCAAGGAAATAATAATAATCAGGACAGATACTTGCCCATTGTTCTGTGATCTTAGCACAACTATTTTTGTTTGAGTTCCTTTCCTATACTAAATAATGTAGTCATTCATTGTCCTTTGCATTTCTCTTCTGATTTCTAAACGTTACATACTGACTAGTGTGCCACACAGTAGTCATAAGTACTTTTAATGATTGCATTTTGTCATATTGGGTGATATATTATTAGTTAAATCTTCCAGTATTATCTGTTTGCTTTTTCCTCCCCCTCTCCCTTTTTTATGGTATTGTAGATAGTGCTTTGAAAATCTGTGATCTTTTTTATTTCTATTGAGTATGTTTTAGAATATATTTTGACATATTAAATTAATATTAAATTAATATGTCAAAGGGCATAGACTTTATTTTTTTTAGTTTGTTACAGGGCAGGTGCACTCACCAGAGAGAGAGAGGGAAAGTGAGAAGTCACCTCTCCAGGGGCAATGGCCATACTGCAATCCGCTCTCCATTCTCCTCTCAGGATTTTGGGAACACACGCAGATGTGCCTGTGTATTTTTCAAGCACTGGTCCAGGATTGGAACCATGAAGTTGGCCATGTGGGATCCAACCACCTTAACCACTATGCCACTGGCTTACCTAGACATAGGTTATTTTCTTTTTTCTTTCTTTTTTTTTTTTTCCTTTGGTACAATTAAAATATTATAAAAGTTTCAATCATGCTAGGATCGACACAGCAGTAAAAACAAACTCTTGTGCTTATCACCAGCCTCAACACCTCGCACATCATGGCTCATCTTTCATCTCTACCTGTACCTCTTCTTCTTACCTCTGGGCTCTTTTGAGGGAAATCCCTACTTAATTTTGTTTGATCTGTTAATATTACAGTAAGTCTTGATACCATTTTACCAAGGTGATTCCCAACAGCTTACTGGTTTCTAATACCACTGGCTGTTAAGGATATCCTGATTTCTCTATAGTCCAATGAAGATTGCCTGTCGTTAGGCACCGGAAGTATGGATAAGGTCAGCTGGTCTACTGGAATCATCAGATTGCTTTAGTTTATGTTTTTAGGATGACTGGCAAGTATAAGCATTGTCTTTGTAAATGATAACAGATTATATTTCCCTTCGTGTGAATGATTTTCCTTTGCTGTTTATCTGTTGAGGTCTTGGTCGTTAAGGGTTTATGCCTTAGCTGTGCACATGAAAGCCAGCCTCTTACTCAGCTCCAGCCCAAAAAATGGAATGCTCTGAGCTATTTCTTAGTGTGTAAAAGAGCAGAAGTATACACAAAAGGTTGTAAAGGAACTTCTGAAAGTCACATTCCACCTGTGCCCACAACTTGTGTAAAGAGAAATGTGCTTTCATGGGTAGCACCTAAGGATACTTGCTGCATAGGGGACTGAAGCAGTACGTATTGAGGCTGCCCAGCAGATCCACATGTTTGGGAGGGCTTAGCCATTAGATGTCAGCTCAGCCGTAGACCTGCCTGTCATGGAGGGCCAAGCAGGTGGTCATCAGCTCATCTGCAGTCCTGCCTGCTGTGGAAGGCTGGAGCCGGTGGTTATCAACTCTGCTGCAGACTGTCTGCTTTAAAGGGCTGAGGCTCTGGTTGTCCCATTGCAGCTCTATGCTGACAGCCAGATGGTACTCTGCACGAGTCTTTCTGAGATATTAACAGCACCTTGCAGACTCCCTGCCACCTGCCTTCCAGGCCCTCAGTGCCTGAAACTTGTCTAGGGAGACCCTCATCATGCACAGAGCTGGTTAATGGCCTTCTGTTGAGTGTGGCTGGGACCAGAGATTGGCAGCTAGGTGAAGTACAAAGACTGTGTACTGTAAACCCTCTGCTGCAGTTCACCCATGTTGATGGACATTCCTTCAGCTGTGTTTTTGTTTTATTTAAGTTTCTTCAGAGAGACAAAAAGAGTTGGGGGCATCCCAACAGGGTCTTCATGCCATAACCCACCTCTAGCCACAGGCACCCCAGGTCACGGCATGCACCTGGTACGTGTACAGGGAAGTCTCAGGATGTGAACCTTCCCATGTGGGCCCAGCATCATAGAGCATTGCATTACTGCTGTGCCATTGGCTGGACCTTACTGTTTTGATGTAGGATCAAGGTCTGTGCTCTGAGTTGGCTTCTTTGTTTGGAGCCTGTTTCTACCTTGTAGAAACCATATTTATGATACATCACTGACTGCAGTTTCCAGAGCAAGGCCAAGAGCAGACAGACGTTTTCTAGATTGTGATTATGGGCCTTTCTTCTCTCTCTTTTTATAGTCCTAATCTCCTGTTTTGATAGTGATTTGTAAAAAAAAAAAAAAAAAAAAAAAAAAGGGACTTGTTTTTTTTACTCTTTCCTAAAATATCTAGCTTAGTTGTTGTTATAGGGTTTTTAAAAAAAAAAAAAAAAAAAAAAAAAAGTGACCTGTCTTTATTTACTCTTTCCTAAAATATCTAGCTTAGTTGTCATACAATATTTTTCTCATTCACTTTTTTTTTTTTTTTTTTTTTTTTTAATGGGAGAGATTGTGTGTGAGTGCTGGAAGGGGGAGGGGGCTTGGACAGTATCTTGCTGCCTTTGCAGTCCTCTCTCCCAGCCTCTTGGATATTTGCACCACAGGTGCACCCCACCTTGATCAGTTTGTTCAGGTTGGTGCTGCACCCAAACCTGGGCCTCTATGTTTCTCTTGCCTGTACAACAGTGCCCTACTGCTTGTGCTGCTGTAGCTAGGCCTCGTTCACATTTTCATCATTTATATATTACTTAATTAAACTAGGTAATCGTGTAAGTGTGACATGGAAATGTACACAGCTGACTCTGGTAAGGACCTGACTCACTGGTGGGAGCAAACATAAGCAGGAGCCACAGAGAATAGTGAGGGCTCCCACAGTGGAGGGGGTCTTTTCACTGGATCAGCCTATAAGTTGCACAGTAATACATTTCACAGGTTGGAGTGGCATAATGGAATATCTTTAAATTTCAAGACTGTGAAAGTGAACACCACAGTGTGCCAGTTTTGGAATTTAAGCACAACACACACAATCACTTGTTACTTGTGCCTGATCAGCACTTAGATTGATGAAGGTCTCATTCTACTACTTGGTGGCTTTGATTTTTCCGTCTCTTCTCATCCTCTGTGTATTTGAGGCATTAGTGGTTATAGTAAGTGCAGACTGCCTGACTTTGTGTGCCCTCACTACCCTGGTGTGCTTCACTTTGCCCCCTGTAAAAGAGATGATAACATACTGATTCATAGGGTGGTTGTGAGATTGAGTGAGTCACGCATGTATTGTTGGTGTTTAGACTGGCAAACATGCAGAGTGTTAGCCTATATTAGTACTGCTGACTTCTCTGTTATTTATCCACATGGCTAGATTTCTGATGGGTTAGTTTCTAGTTCTCCTGTGGTTGAACTGTTAAAAGAATAGTGGATCAAAGTGGAATGGTAACTCTTATTAATATGTGAGCATTTGAAAGCTAATTAGATGCTAGGCAATGTAACTGAGGAGCACAAAAGAGGACAAACAGTACATTTTCAGGTGTAAATTTTAATCACACAAATTAAATATTAACTATGTGTAAAGTTTGCTTTTTGAGAAATTTCCCTGTTAATCAAAATATTTATATTTTTCCCCTATAAAGGCATGATTAAAAATGAAGACAAGTTGTATTAGTATATTTAAGATCTGATTTAAAAATTGATTGTGTGGGACCAGAAGATGGCATAATAGTTATGTCACTGAATTCCCACATAGTCAACCATGGTTCGAATCTTGGACCTGGTGGCTTAAAACTCATGCCAGCTGCATGTGTGGCCAAAATCCCCAAAGGAGAATGGAGAAAAAGGGATTGCCATTCCCCTTGGCAGGTGATTTCTCGTTTTCTGTTTCTCTGTCTCTCCAGCAAGTGCACATGCCCTATAACAAAAATCTCTCTCAAAAATGAAAAAAAATTTTGATTTGCGTGAGCCCACCTCTGGTAGTTGTAAAGGTGGCCGGATCTCATATGGCCGACTGTGTGATTCAAGTCTTGGACCCTGTGGCTTAGAAACACACTAGGTGTGTGTGCCCAAAATCCCAAAAGGAGAAAGAAATGGAGGAAAAGGGATTGAAGCCTGACCATTTTCCATGGGGGGGGGGGGGGGCTTTTTTCTCTGGGGGGGGGGGTTGCTTTTTCTCTTTCTCTCTGTTTTTCTTCCCTTTCCTTGAGGACACATGCCCTCTGGCAAATTAAAAAAAATAAAAGTTTGTATGGATACTAAGATGCTAATTCTCTTTTAAATAGAGTTTTCATTTGGGGGCCTTCAGTGGGGATTTTTGCCTTCCCCATCATTTGCAGACTGTCTCTTTCACACTCTGCCCATTTCTCTGTCATCCCAGAGAGTGTGGTGTGGAAGTGAGGTGGCAGATAGAGGCTGGGTTCTGCAGCCTCACCAGGGCTCTGCTCTTTGCAGCATTAGTGAATGATTGGCTCTCAGCAATCTGAGGGCTATGCTTTTCTCCCAGTGTGGTCTTAGGGGGTTGGAGGTATGCAGGCCACGTGCTGTAGTGGAGAAGGACTGGGGTGCACTCATTGCTACCACCTCCTACCACTTGTCCCGAGGAGAGTGGGATAGTGGGATGCCAGGAGACAGTCACACTCAACTGGAATAGGCCATCTCTTTGAATGGATGTTGATTTCAAAAACTGCTCCTCAAAACAGCAACAACAACAAAAAACCCCAAAAACCAACAACAAAAAAACTGTTCCTCAGAGGTCTGTTTTTCTCATGTTTTTTTTTTTAGGACTTTATGGACAGCAGCCTGCCAACCAAGTCATCATTCGTGAGCGGTATCGAGACAGCGACAGTGATCTGGCACTGGGCATGCTGGCTGGAGCAGCCACGGGCATGGCTTTAGGATCTCTGTTCTGGGTCTTCTAGAATCCCCCAGGTTTTGATGTGCATAGCTTCTGATAACCCTGTGTGCAATAATGTGATTTGCAGGGCATTTCTGTTTGTGACAAATGTTTTTAATAATAGTTTCAATAGTTCTTTTGAAAGTAGTGGCATCATAATTGTGACTAATCACATAAGAACCACAGAGGAGAGTAAACTATGCTGTTCAGCTAAAACACGTCTCTATAATGGCACTAGCTTGTTCTGAGATTTTCCTTATTTTACCATATCTGTCTTGAAAGGCATTTTCTTTTAGAATTAGGTGTGGTACTTCAGGGATAATTTATTTTCAGTTTATGCCAGTAATATAGTGATGTATGAGTAAGTGAGTGAGTGTGGCAAGAAAAACTGCAGCTTCTTTTGGTTTAACTTCAAACCTTCCAACCTCAGACCAGAGCTGGCTGCATGTTACTTCATGAGTTGTGGGCTGGAAGGATGCCAAGCTCCTGAGGCAGTGGTATGCCAGCCCCACGCCCCACCTTCTGGGATTCCCCTGGCCCCTAGACTGACTGCTCAGGATGAAAGGGGATGTCCCCCAAAAACAATGCTTCAGAAGTCTGCCTAATTCTCTTGTTATTCATGTTTGTTTGTAGCAATATTTGGAATATATCTCAAATTAGGATTCGACGAGTCTCCATGTTTAGGGGCTTTAATTCTTTAAAACTTGAAGACGACAGAACAAAAACAAATGCATGGAGGTAGAGTTCCTTTATTCAGAGACAGTATTTTTAGTATCTGCTTTGGCTATTCTATTGCTGCCTAAGCAGACATGTATAGCCTATTTTTCTACTTGCTGAAAAAGTGGTATTAAAGAATGGTGAGGGTAGTGAGAGGAAGGCCAGAGTTGGAGAGTTGATTTCCAGGCCTCCTTGGGACCATACTGTATGGAAGATGCTCTTTCCTGTCCCTCTGAAGGCATGTCCTGTGCTGGAGTAAGGCCTGGGACTTGAGGGACCAGCTCAGGGCACCATTCAGCCTGGCCAGGACCCCAGGCTTGTTTTCCTTCCTGAACCACAAGTGATAGAGAAGCCGAAATCATTTCCGTTTGAGCTCCTAAATGTGAAAAGTTTTGGAAAACCCACAGTCTGCTTTTCTTTCACATTTTCATACTTCCAGTATTTTGAAACGCTCTTTTGAAGTATTTCTGTCATTTCATGCTTTAAAGCTCCTGATTATTCTAGTTTTCTGTCCTGCATGCTTTAAACTGTGTGTTTAGGGGCAGTTTAGCACAGGGAAGGTCCGACCCCACATTCAACGCTCCACATGGTCCTGTTTTCCCTGAAATGCACTCCATGTTGCACCCATTCTGTTTTCGTTTTGCTGGCTGATATATACGTTCTCTCTTGCTATTCTGATCATCTGGCTCCATTTCTGAGATAGACTTTTAAATAGGTCTCCATGTGAAACCAGATGCCAAATTAACTTCACAGGGAACTCAGGTCTGTTTTCTGGCTAGTCTTAGGGGGCTCATTGACATGGGAGTGTCTATTTCCAGCTTAAAGGAAGTGTACTTACGTCATCTCTGGATATGTGTAATGTATGACATCACTGATGTAGATGGTTAAAAATGTTGATTTTAGGATTTTGTATGTCAATGTCTTTGTTCAGATTATAATCATTATTGAAACTGTATGCTTTACTTACAAAATATTAAAAATAGTTTTTAATGTTGCATTGGGTGTTGTTTCTGAACTTGCAATTACTGGGTAAAAATTAGAGAAGAACTACAGAGTATTGAGTTATGCCACTCAACTGCTGTCGAAGCAGTCTCCCTGTGTTTGTAAACCTGCCTGTCTGGCTAAAGGAGAGCATGGGAACTGAGGCTTGGGAGCCCATTGGGGTCTGCCTTGTTGGGCAGCCATAGTTGAGCCTGGAAATCTGTTGTCATTAGTAACTTGATCCTGGTAGGAAATGTATAGTAGGGACAGAGAAGGGCTCACATATTTCATTTCCTTGACTCCAGCTCCCGTAAATGTCACCCTTTTGATAGCCTCCATTCTCAGTGACATCCTCTGCTTACAGTGTTAACTTAAGCATTCCCAGATCAAGTAGTGCACGAACTGAAAGGAACTTCCTATTGGGATTTGAATCGGCATTGTACCTCCTTGTATACTTTTCGATCATGGTCTGTACCTGGAAGAGGTTGGCCATTGACGTACACGTGCTGACCTGATTATTCTTTTAGCTCTTTCAATTTCATGAGTTTCTTGGATGTTAAAAAGAAGAACCTGTTTAATGTCTCGGTTCATCATTCATGAAAAAGGCCAAACCTTGTCTATTTCAAGCTATCCAGGACCCAGGGAAGCCATCTGGATTGGAAAAAGTTCCTACAGTTGAAGCAAAGTGACCCAGATCTACTTTCTAGATAATTTTTTTGATCCTGTGTAGTTTTCTTTTCCATCCCTGGTATGTGTATACAAAGGCATGGAATGTAGCTCCAGTTTTCTCCCCAGTCACTCTGTTGTGTCTACAGAACCCATTTTCCCTGTATGTGCAAACTGTATCTTTATAAGTGAAAATGTTAATATATTAAATGATCATTAACTTTAAGGCATGTTTTATTGTGTGTGTGTGTGTTCCCCCTCCCCCCAGTTTTTCTCTTCCATAGAGAAAAGCATCCCGACAGGGAATTCACGCCTGAATCCACCGTCAGTCTCTCAGCTGGCCTGGATAACAGGCATATGTGTGTACCTAGTGTACTCTGGGAGGTCACGAACTCAGGACCTTTCCCATGTGGGTCCAGTTGTGTTACTGCTGTGTCACTGCCAGGTCCTGACTTCTTTTCTATTTTAAAAATTATGTTCTAGTAACACACTGTTAGCTTTTACTGCTGTTGTAGACAACAAGAATGCCATTTATTGTGGACCTATCAAATTGTGGGGACTATGTTGTCATATTGGAACAGAATTCATTAAATTCTTCTAGTGACTCTCTAAGAGAGGTATTCAGGTTACACTCCGAGGATGAGGTCCAGAAGTTAAAAACTACTCAGATACATACAGGCAGTAAGTGAAGCTCATGTCTATAGCTGGTGTTCATATACGTTCTTTGTCCCTGTACCATGTACATGTGAGAATGATTTCCACAAGAATTTGGAGGTGGCCAGTGTGGTCACAGTTTTAAGATGGCTGTTAGCAAATTGACAGTGTTTTTTCTAGACCAGATCAATCTGGCAGCATGTTTCCAGTGACTTTTTTCTTTATTATGATGATGATGATGATAGATTTTTGCTAAAGGGCGTGTGCACTTGCCAGCAAGACAGAGAGACAGAAAACAAGAAATTACTCCCTAGGGGGGATGGCCACACTGCAATCCCTTCTCCATTCTCCTCTTGGGATCCTCGGCACACATGTACATGCGCCCAGCGTAAGTTTAAGCCACTGGGTCTGGGACTCAAACCGCAGTGGACTACATGGGAGTCCAGTGACATAGCCATTATGCCAGCTGATTTTGTTTGTTCTCAAGTATTTAATTTTGTGTATTTATTTATTTATTTTAATTTGACCAGAAAGAGACAGAGAGAGAGAGAGGGAAAGTGAGAAAGCAAACCACCAGGTCCAGGACTCGAACTGTTGTCAGCCATGTGGAAGTGTCCAGTGACTTAACCACCATGCCACCTGCCAGCCCCTGTGATTTTTGTTTTAAAAAATTATTTTAAATTTGTTATTTTTGAATTCCCTGTGGACTTGCTTTCTATTTGTCCCACATGTAGACTCTTCATTAGGTGGTGATGGGTTATTGCCTATCAGAGTCAAGTCTGGGAGTCTACACTGGAAGCTCTGGGTCTCTTCATTTTGTTCTTTGAAGAATCCCTGCTACTTTGCCAAGAGACCACTGTTTCTTGATGTCGGCAGGGGCAGTTGAAGCAAAGTGACCCAAATTTACTTTCTATCATTTTTTGATCCTGTGTATTCAATTGGCATTTGATCTGTTGTGATTTCTTTTTTGGTTGGGGTGTAGGATGAATATTTATAGATAGAAATCACATAAGCTCTTTGGGGACCTAAAAAATTCACACAGGCTGTCCAACCTGACTTTCAGCTTCTGGCAGTCTGACCTTCCTGCTGCTTTGGGTTCTGAGCATTTGTTTTTCTATTTACTTTTTAAAAATTTATGTATTTTATTTATTATTTTTAAATTTGCTATAGGGCATATGTGCTCACTAGGAAGAGACACAGAGAGAGAGAGAGAGAGAGAGAGAGAGAAGGAAAGTGAGAAAGCAAGCTGTCTGGTCCATGATTCAAGCCATGGTTGGCCATGTGGGAGTTCAGCCCCACAACCACCACACCACTTACTGGCCCTTAATTTACCTTTTGAATAGAGTAGACATAACTCAAAAATTAAGCAACAACAAATACATTGAGTGAAAGGTCTTATATCTGCCCAGTTCCCCTGATAAGCGTCTGTTTATCCTTCATGAGTTTCTTTATGCATCAATAAGCTAGTACAAAGATAAATTCTTTATTTATATTTAAGTTTGCCAGAGGGTGCAAGAGAGAAAGAAAAGATTACCTCTCAACAGGGCATGGTCATATCATAAACTCTTTTCCATTTCTTCATATTGTCAGGAATCTGGCATGTACTCACACCAGGCATGTGTTTCATGCCACTGGGACCAGGATTTGAACTACACAATTAGCCTTGTGGGGTCCAGCTCCCTTAGTCACTAGGCCATGGAGCCAGCCCACAAAAATGCATTCTTATTGTCCTCCTGTTTTTACACATAGGATTCTGTATACACCAATGGTACCAAAACTTCGGTCTCAGGACTCTTATACTACCAACATTTTAGGCTCCCAGAGAACTTATAAAATGTGATTTGTGTTTATCAATGCTCGTCACATTAGAAAATAAAATTGAGGAATTAGAAAACTTAAAAAATTACAAACCCGGGGGCCAGCAGATGGCACAGTGGTTATTTTAATAGACTTCCAAATGTTTGACCATTGTTTGAGTTCTTGACCCTTTGGCTTAAAAATCATGCCTGGTGCATGTGCATGAGTACCCAAGATCCTAGGAGAATAGAGGAGAAGGGATTGCGGTGTGGTCATCCCCCCAGGGTGATTTCTCACTTTCCCTCTATCTCTCCTGTGAGCGCACACATTCTGTGACAAAAATCTCTTTCAAAAAAGATAAACCCATGATAGTGGGTTTATAGTCACATCTTAAAAATAGACTTTATAAAATGTGTTGTAAAGGAAAGTCAATGAGGCATGGAATTATTTTCACATTAAAAATTTTTTATTTAATGTCTGGCTTAATAGCTGAATTCTTCAACTGGCATTTGATCTGTTTTTTTTTTTTTCATGTGATGATTTCTTAAATTATAATTTACAAAGAAATGTTTACAAATGTATAGTTACAAGTTTACTTTAAAAAGCCAAATTCATGGGACCAGCAGATGGCATAATGGCTGCGTCACTGGAGTCCCATGTAGTCGGCCATGGTTTGAGTCCCAGACCTGGTGGTTTAAACTCACGCTGGGCGCATGTGCATGCATGCAAGATCCCAAGAGGAGAATGGAGAAGAAGGGATTGCAGCATGGCCATCCCTGCTGGGGGGGTAATTTCTTGCTTTCTGTCTCTTTGTCTTCCTGGCGAGAGCACACATCCTAGCAAAAACCTCGCTAAAAAAAAAAAAAAAAGACAAATTCACAACTGTAAGAAGTTTCCCTCCAAATGAGATTATAAACTATACAAATCTGTGATTTAAAATGAGAAAAAAAAAAGAAATGAGGTCAGCTGGTGGCATGGAGGTTCAGACTCTGGATCCCACATGGCTGACTGAGGTAAAGAGTCCCAAACCCAATAACTAAAAATGCTGGGCACATGTGTGCGCATTGCCAAAACTCCCAAAAGAATGGTGGAGAAGGGAATGATGCAGTGTAGCCATCCCCTCAGGAGGGATTTCTCACTTTCTCTCTCTGAAAAGTACACACACCCTATAACAATCAAAAAAAGAAAGAAATGATAAGTTATACTTAAAATGGAAGTATAATAATAGTACTAAATTTTTATATTTAAATTACCCTAGAAGCTGTTTTGCATGAACAATATTAAACCTTTCCTTTGTTTATGCTTCTGGCTGAGCATGGAAGAAGGGACCAAAGCATAAGGTGACTGAAAATTCTTTTTTTTTTGGAGAGGTTTTTGCCATAGGGTGCATGCGCTCGCCAGAGAGACAAAGACAGACAGAGAGATAGAAAGCGAGAAATCACCCCCTGGGGGGATGGCCATGCTGCAATCCCTTCTACTTCATTCTCCTCTCAGGATCTTGGACACTCATGCACACAGGCCCGGCGTGAGTTTAAGCCACTGGATCCAGGACTCGAACTATGGTCGACTACATGGGAGTTCAGTGACACAGCCATTACGCTAACTGCTGGTCCCTAGAATGTAAGGTTTTTTATCCCTAGAGTTAGAGTTCAAAGACAAGATAAAGTCTCTTATCTGAAATCAGAATCTACCCACTGATCTGCTGAGCCACAGCTTGCATATTGCCATAAACCTTTGATGGAAGATTCCCTAGGATGAGGTTGCAAATGGCAATTCTTGCCATCTTGATGTTTTGGAAAGAGCCAAGGATGTGAATTTTCACATCAGCCAAAACTATTCATGTTGGGGTCACGTTCTCTATGGTGAAATTTGGTCTTTCCTCCTTTGCCAGCAATTT